TATATATATATATATATGGAACAGTTATGTTGTTCAGTGTTTTTTGGATACAGGATCCTGATCTGAAACAGTGTTAAGACTTTCATGGACAAGTTAAGACTTTCGGGGACTTAGAGAGGATTTATGTGTGCTAATAATCGAAGCAAGTAGTTGATGCAAATTGAATATCCTAGATTAACCAGTAGGGGAGAAGGCAATTGAATCTCAGCTTCTTACATAATGCTGTAACAAACATTGGGTAATATGGTAAAATAAGTGAACAAAATCAACAGAAAAGCACACCATGAGTTCACCCATTGTTATCCTGTACTAGCTGTAGAATAACTCATGATAGCTGAAATCTAAAAGAAAATCAAGTTGCTGAATTAGTACCATACTTTTTGCTTTCTTAACCAAACCTTTTATGACCTTCACTGGCGTTTGTACCCAAATCTTTCATTTTTGTATTTTACACATTGAAATGCACTGATATAGCTACATCCTATCAGCGTTAGATGACACTGTGCCTGGTTCCAGTAGAATTGTTTGTAAACAACTCTTATGCAGTCACTATCAATGGCTGTTATGGTGATCACATGGTTGGGATCCATGCTGATTGGTTAGCGACTGTTAGTGAGAAAACAGTTACCAGTTGCAACATGGTTTCAGAACTAGAAGCATTTTCTGCTGTGTTTGACAGGTTTTAAAAAAAGGAAACATAGATTAGCATTCTTTCAGCATGGGGCATGGTGCCCGAGAATAGTATCAACAGATGAAGTCAGGAATGGACTACATTTCTGAAATGTTCAGGGGCTTTAACTTTTAATTATTTTTAAAGGTAAAAGCGTCAAGTGGAAAATGGAATTCACATCCATTGCCATATTGAGGCAAATGAGAATACATTAATTGTTTTTTTACTGGTTCCTGTGATAATAGCACATTGACTTTTGTTTTTCAATGCAATTTAATCCTTCCTAGCTTTTTAGGTTGCTTGTTTTGATGCTCTGATCTCTATGAAAGTGACAAATGTAAGAGCATATAAGTGTTTACATTAGAACATTGTACCATAAACCCTAAAAATATATTTTCAGCAACAAACACATAATGTATCTTTCAGTATCCTAAAGTATGAAATAATTCATTCATTGCTAAAGATCTGTGCTTTAGAAAATGCATTCACTAAATATAGAGATAATTGCCAGAGTTGAATAGTGGTGTATTTACCTGTCACATTTCACAAAACGGAGATTGAATGACCTCTAGTATGATTCATTTGAAGGACACTGGAGGGAGGAGAGTGTAGTATCATATGGGTTTTATACAGCAGACCTGAGGCGCATTGTGCTATAGGGAAATTCTCCACATGTGTTCTTGTAGCTCTCCGGCTTTTTTTGTCACATGTAGATAAAAGCTCTAATGTACAACCACAGCTTATCAGAAACTAAAGTGCATTCAATATTCAAAATGAAAGAAACATATTCATATTTTAGAAACGTGTGTGTATATATATATATATATATATATATATATATCATACAGTCACTCCATATACCACACATACCAAATACACTGCATATATAATTTGAGAAAAATATGCCAATAATATATATATACACACACACCATGGCAGATGCTCTCAGATCAGAGAAAGGTACACATAGGCAAGGCAAGGTACAACATAATACAACGGGGGGTACCAAACACATGTTCAAACATAGCCAAAAACTAACTTGTCTCAGGTTTTTGTTGCATAAAATTGCAAATACAGGTTGAAGCAACACGGCTATTCCAAGGCACCACTGTAAAGTGTGGGCCCTAACACAAAACTATCTGAGTCCACAACTATGGGGCATATATAGCAGTGCACAAACTAAGCGCTCACCTGGAGTCCATCCCTCCCTCCTTATAGATACAGAGCCACACCAGAAACCTAACTAAAACTAGCATTCAATAACTGTTATAGTGAAAATTTGAAGATGTGCAAATATTGTGGTGCTGAAAAGAACATTGGATGATCAAACTAGTTTTAATTTTTGTGTTCTGAAATAATATTAAGCGTCATATTTTTCCATCCCTCAAGCTGTTGTACAGTTAGCAAATAATAGATTTATCATATTTTGAGAGCCAAGAAGAGGAAGTGGAACATGTCATTTGGGCTGATTTACTAAAGAAAGATAATATATTCACTTTGTAAAGTGAATGTCCATTAAGCTTAGTGAATGAGGTGAAGCTCTGTTTACATCAATAATCCAAACATGTGCAAGCTAAAGTCCTTTTTTTTTAAATTAACCTTGCAGATGATTGGGTTTTTAAATTGAAGTTTAGTAACAACCCCACCAATTTGTAGGCCTCCCGTCTATTAATAAGTCATGCCCATTTTAGTTAATCATGATTTTAAAACAACTACATTTAATTACTTCAACATTCCAAACACTGACCAGATGTGACCTGTTCTTCAGTTTTCAAAAGTCTTAGAAATATCATATGATGGTGTATATCATATTACCTTTAATAACAGTGTCATCTATTTTTTTTCGTTGCAGTGGTGCCTTTTCTGAGGTTTTCCTAGTACAGCACAGATCCACGGGACAGCACTTTGCTCTAAAATGTATAAAGAAAGTAAACAGTGCACGAGACCGAAGCTTGGAGAATGAAATAGCAGTTTTAAAAAAGTAAGAATTTTCAAGGTGGTTTTCCATGGTTATTGAGCCTTTATTTTTTTTTGTTTTTTTAATTTGTAGAAAATAGATATCATACTCAGAAACATAATTGGGTTGCTTTGCTAAAGAGACATAGGCTGTTCACTTTACAATAGAATTTTCACTTTGCAAGGGAATTTACCTTTAGCTTAGTGAATGAGGTGAAGCTCTGCTGACTTCCATCATCCACACATGTGCAAACAAAATACTGTTTTTTTTAAATTATTTTCCTTGCACTTGATTGAGTATTCTTTGTAATGTGAATTTTTACCACATTCACTAACCTAAGGGAAAATTCTTAGTACAGTGTAAAGCCTATTTGCCTTTAGTTAACCAAGCTTAATGAACAAATCACCACCCCACCAAGGACTGATAAGCTGCAATATATTACATTTTTATTTTGGGGTTTAGATACACATTAAGAATAAAACTACCATCTTTTTTATAGTTTTGGGATCTCCAGTAAACCTAGTAGTAAAGTCCATAATGTGTATTTAGGCATGTGTGAGAAAATGATAAACAGTTAAGAAGGACACTAACACTGCAGCATTAATCACTCCCATAAAAGGGCCATAAGAAAATATGGTAGTAAAAGGCTATAGTTCATGTGATAGACAGATATATAGAGTTATAAATGTGGGGCTTTAGAAACATTGAGATATATACCGGGGTTAATTTACTAAAAGAATAAAAGCTGTTCACCTAGCAAAGTGAATTGTGTGGGCAAGGTGACACTGTCTCTTTAACAGATGATAAAAAATAAATGTAAATCACAAGCAAAAACATTGGTTTACAATTTGTCGCTTATACAAAACCAGTGCAATTTCCAGGGAAAATATTTAAAATTCCAGACTGATCTAGCATTAGGTTATGTCAACAGTACTCTCTGTTTCAGCTCTACTTTTTCCTAGATCAGAGATGAAGCTGAACTAATTTTCTGTTCTGTTCTCTTAAGGATTAAGCATGATAATATTGTGACACTTGAGGATGTCTACGAGAGCTCTTCACACTTCTACCTTGTCATGCAGCTGTAAGTAGCATAGTGCACTGGAATATTATTTCTAGTTCATATTATGTGTTATATAACTCACTAATACTGTATAATAAAATAATCACTACATGGGGAAACACCGCAATGCACTATATAGCTATATATTATTTGGGAAATAAGGAAAAATCGAAGATTCAGCAACCCAATGTAGGATAGTCAATACTCATACATAACAAAAATTCTCACATTCATGATAAGTGTGACAAAAAAGAGGAAATGTGAACACTGAATAAAAATTATAAAGCAATGCAAGATTCGATCCATAAAATAATAAAGGGGAAACACTAAAAAAATTCAAAGACAGAGAAAATAGAGAGACAAGAGAACGAAAAAGGACAAAAGGGGAGAAGATAGAATACAATGAATAAAGAAGTCCTAGGGGGATGTAATTTAAATATTCAAAGACTCAATAATAAGGCATCAAACCATGAGGGCTGGGAATAAGCTATCCAGAGTTGCCAAGTACAAACAGATTTTGCATGATAATCCTTTAGAACAGCCATCAACTTTTCATAAATCATTATCGCAGTCAACCAGCGTTTAACTGCTTCAAAGCTTAAAGTGGGTAATTTCCAGGCCTTGGCAATAGTTACTCTGGTTAAAGCCATAGTACTTTAAAAGATGGGTCTGCATTTAAATCCACTCTTCATGAAGCTTGGCAATACACAGTATGCCAGTTCTATAGATTTAACAGCTTGTTATAGCCCTATTAGGATATTTTTAGCAATGTTTTCACACAGAAATCTTTGGCATATGGAGCTTTATATATATTCATGTGTGTCTTTACAGAATTCTTATACGTCCAGTATTTGGTTCAAAAAGTGTAACTTTAGTTACCAAAATTGTGCATCCATAACATAACATTTGACTGCCTGTACAATTGTGTGTGGCAGGGTATCCGGAGGAGAGCTCTTTGATCGTATATTGGAACGTGGGCTATACACAGAGAAAGATGCTAGCCATGTTATACGCCAGGTTCTATCTGCTGTCAGATATCTTCATGACAATGGAGTCGTTCACAGAGATTTAAAGGTAAACTTTAGTAAGCATACTTTTTGCAGTAACAACCTACAGTTATAAATATCTAGGATGATTTGTATTATAAGAGTGACATAATTGAACAGCATTCAGAACAATGAGGGTAGGTGAGGTTGCTGTGAACATCATTAAAGTGTATTTCCACTTTTGAGAAAACCCCTCTATATGTTTGTGTTCTCATTCACAAACTGAGGGCAGACTGAGCTTCCTCTCATTAACATACAATATTTTTCTAAGTCTTTAACCCTTGGATAGGACAGACAATGTTCAAATCTAGTTTACAACTGATGAGATTTGCCAGCACAGTACAGACAGGTTTAATTAGAGTAAATATATATCCCCACAGCCCCCTTATTAACCTCCCTGGCGGTATGATTCTTTTGATTTTCGTTAATTTTTCGGCGCAATTTTTTTCGTTATTTTATTTTTTCATTTCTTCCGGGGTTTTTTTCGAATTTCCCGCCCGACACGTACGCTCGCAAGGGACGGAACCCGGAAGACAGATTCTGGCGCCGGCCGGAGGACACCGCACGGCTCGAGGGACAAGGTAAGTAAATACAGTGGGATATTCCCGAGTGTAGCTCAGGGTATGGAGAAGTAACCCCGAGCTACACTCGGGAATACCGCCAAGGAGGTTAACATTACATGGGGCAAAGCAGGGTAAGATTTTTAACTCAAAAGCACTTAAGAATGTAAGCAGGAATTTTTTTTAGTATTTGTTTGTTATGCTATGTGAATGCGAATGAAAAAAAAAACTGTTTTGTGAAGTGGGGGAAATTGAACCCTGTAATCATTTTAAAGTATATCTAAACCCAAGAACAAAAATGTAAAAATATTTTTCAGCTTATTTTCCTTTATTTTTATCTAGTGATCCTGCCAGTAGCACACTTTCTGTCCTAGGGGGACAACGCTCACGCACTGTACTGTATGTATAGGGGAGAAGTGGTGTCACCCTGTGACATCCCCTCTTCTACATAGCATAGAAAGAAAGTGTTCTGTAGTCCAAGAGAGACCTAGAAACAATACTAACTGATAACAGTCAACAGAAGCAGAACATACAGGAAGTTTTTAGCATACAATCATTCTGGCAGAATCAATGGGTATTTGTTTGCACTTACTGAACATATATAACAACTTTCAAATATATATTTGAAAGTTGTCCTGCATTGCCATGTTCTAAAATGTAGATTTTTTGTGGTCAGATGGAAAAGGTGCAACAGATTCCTCCATCTACACTTAACTGTGTGGATGGAGCAATCTCCACCTGGGCCAATCTGTTGCACTTTTTCCATCTGACCACAGAAAATCTGCAAATAATTGTAAGGTGTGTGGGCACCTTTAGAAATTACACATTTATTGTCTGTGATAAAATGTAACATCTATTAGCTAACCAGTGTTCTAAATATATTAAAATGATCCTGGCCCATATATTAAAATGATCCTGGCTGATGAAAACTCCAAGATTATGATAACAGATTTTGGTCTTTCCAAAATGGAAGAAACTGGGATTATGTCCACAGCCTGTGGCACTCCAGGATATGTTGGTGAGTAGATTAATTCTTCCACATGATATTAACTAGAAGAAAACATTTTTTTTGTAAATTATATTTTTATTAATTTAAATTATAATAAAATAAACTTAGTTATTTGAGAAGGTTATAGCAAAAAATATAGACAATTTAATCAAAATATCTAACCAAAATAAACAGGAAAATATACTTTGTGAAGTTTACAGATATGTCAGTAACATTCCCACAATATTACTTCAGTCTAATAAAACAATTGTTTCTAGGGCACATTTTATCAAGTTCATATCAGCAAACACATGCAGTAACTATATAGTGTTGAATTTATTTATTACCATATGTTGCCCATTTGACCATACAAGTGTGCAGTCATCACATGCATCTGCGACCTGAACAATTGTTTTAAGTTTGGTTGTATTTTATTGGTTCAAGTTAAACATTAGGAGATGAGACCTCAATTAAACTAGATGGATACAACAAGAAAAAAACATCTGTGAGCATGTATCCTTTTTAATCATTGTTCTGCTTCTAATAATAGATTCCATTGGCATCTCCATTATGCTTATGAATCACAGGATCCTCCAATTTGCACGTCTTCAAATCTGAGCAGTTGATTTCATTATTCAACTGTCAATACATGTCTCCTTGTGAAACATTATTTTAAGCCTTATTTATTGAATAAAGAGGCTATTAGGGATGGGCTTGATGTTTGAGTCGAGCAAGAGTTCAACTCGAACATCGGCAGCTCGCACAGTTCCTTGTGAGCCCTGATTGGCTAAAGCCTTGCACCTGACCACAGGTAAGGTGCAAGACTTTGCCCATTCAGGGCACAGTACTCTGTAAGAGCCATGATTGGGCAAAGTAATGATGACTTTGCCCAATCATGGCTCACCTGTCAGATGCCGTACAACTGTAAACAGGTGGGCGGAGCTATCTAGCTGTCACCACTAGCTCCACCCAATTGTTTATATTTTGCCAGAATGCCATTTTTTAATTATTTCTATTTATTTTTTTTATTTTTTTATTTTGTCGAGTCGTCATCATCGTGGAGAACGCTGGATGTTATGATTGACCCTGGATTACATTTTAAAAAAATAAAAGACTTGTCAAAAACATGTCTTTTGTTTTTTTTTTTAATTAAAGGATTTTTCAAAAGTCTGGCCTCTTTTTTAAAACTTTTATTTAACCCTTTAGTGAATGGGTAGGGGCACAAGTACCCCTTACTCATTCACAAGGGGGGGCCGCATCTGGGTGCCCCTTTATTAAAGGGGTACCTTGATGTGAATAAGCCCCCTGCCCGCACCTCCACAACCAATGCCCCAGGGCTTGTGGGCAAGAGGCCCTTGACCCCACGGCACGTGGACAAGGTGCTTTTACAGGGACGACCCTGGAAAAGCACCCTCCCAGTCCGAGGGCATGTGGCCTGGAATGGCAGGGAGGGGGAGCCGCCCGCTCGCCCCCCCCTTTCCTACCCTGTCAAGCCTGTGCTCGGATCAAGGGTCTGGTATGGAATTTTATTGGGGACCCCACATTTTTTTCCTCGATAAGGGTTCCTCTTTAAAATTCCTACTAGACCTTAAGGGCTTGGTATGACTTTGAGGGGGAACCCCACATGCTTTTTTTTGTTTTTTTACACGGGGTCCCTTCCAAAATTCCTACCAGACCTAAAGGATCTGGTATGACTTTTTGGGGGGACCACATGCTTTTTTTGTTAAATGGGGTCCCACCTAAAGGGTCTGGTATGGTTTGGGGGAACCACTTTTTTTTTTAAATGCCATTTAAAAATAAATTAATGTCAGTTTTCCTGCGGAAGGTTCTATACATCGTATAGATGCGCCACTTTACAGGCAGTTTAAGGGGACCCCCCAAGCACGATATTTAAAGGAATTTTTCATTTTTATTGTTTCACTTTAAGGAATGTTAAAAATCACTGTTCCTTTAAAAACAGTATTTTTTTTAAAGTGTTATTTGCATTGATACATGTCCCCCAGGGCAGTACCCCAATCCCCATACCCTTGTTATGGCCATTAAGTTGCATATAAGCCTTAAAAAAGGGGACAATTGATTTTTCAATGTTCTAAAGTTTGAATTCGAACCAAACACGGGGGTGTTGGGCCCATCACTAATAGCAATATGGCATTTACTTACATCATCTGATTATTAAGATTTTCTTACAATATACTTTACAGTGGTGGATTTACATTTTCATTACAGCCGGAAAACCTCCTTTACCTCACCGCTGATGAAAACTCCAAGATTATGATAACAGATTTTGGTCTTTCCAAAATGGAAGAAACTGGGATTATGTCCACAGCCTGTGGCACTCCAGGATATGTTGGTGAGTAGATTAATTCTTCCACATGATATTAACTAGAAGAAAACATTTTTTTTGTAAATTATATTTTTATTAATTTAAATTATAATAAAATAAACTTAGTTATTTGAGAAGGTTATAGCAAAAAATATAGACAATTTAATCAAAATATCTAACCAAAATAAACAGGAAAATATACTTTGTGAAGTTTACAGATATGTCAGTAACATTCCCACAATATTACTTCAGTCTAATAAAACAATTGTTTCTAGGGCACATTTTATCAAGTTCATATCAGCAAACACATGCAGTAACTATATAGTGTTGAATTTATTTATTACCATATGTTGCCCATTTGACCATACAAGTGTGCAGTCATCACATGCATCTGCGACCTGAACAATTGTTTTAAGTTTGGTTGTATTTTATTGGTTCAAGTTAAACATTAGGAGATGAGACCTCAATTAAACTAGATGGATACAACAAGAAAAAAACATCTGTGAGCATGTATCCTTTTTAATCATTGTTCTGCTTCTAATAATAGATTCCATTGGCATCTCCATTATGCTTATGAATCACAGGATCCTCCAATTTGCACGTCTTCAAATCTGAGCAGTTGATTTCATTATTCAACTGTCAATACATGTCTCCTTGTGAAACATTATTTTAAGCCTTATTTATTGAATAAAGAGGTTTTATTCCTAAAATATCATTAAACCCTCACATAAATAATTCATGCATTCTGTTGTTAACATGCTGTATTACTGTGTTTTTTTACTTGTGTTTTCATTGTGAATCATTTTCTTATTCTAGTTTCACCTGATTTTTTTCAGCTCCAGAAGTCCTTGCACAAAAGCCATATAGTAAAGCAGTGGATTGCTGGTCTATTGGAGTTATAACATACATTTTGTAAGTACATCAGTGACACTGAGAAGCATAGTGAGGGGAATTTATCAAAAATGGAGCAGGCAGAATCTGGAGCTGTTGTCATGGCAACCAATCAGCTGCTACCTTTCCTTTCCAAATCTTAACAGAACAAACTTAAGATAGAAGATGATTGGTTACTATGAGCAACTGCCCCAGATTCTGTGTGCTCCAGTTTTGATAAATTAACTTTTTTGCTCAGCTTTCCTTTTTTGTACATTTCAGCATATTTCAAAATAATTTAGAGTAGAGACTATTTTGCGTTCTAATAACAAGATACATATTTTGTGTAATAACCTGGCAGTACACTCGGAAGGCCAAACTGTTGACCTCACTGAAGGAACAGGAAAAAAACTGGTAACTGCACTGTATACAACAAAAATCAAGCAGTCAAAGTATATGCATTTAAAATGCTGGATCATCTGTCCAAATTATAAAATTGAAAGTGTAACTCTAGGCAAAAAACTAGATATGCATTGGACATACATATATGTTTATAATTTTTCCTGCAACTGATTAGTATTTTTACATTCCATGATTAACATACCTCTGCCACTATAAACAGCCAGGTTAACAGGGTTAATTTACTAAAGAAGAAGAGCATGCTCACTTTGCAAAGTGAATTTTAATTAAAGCAGACCTTTACCCACTTTGACTAAAAATCACATCAGCATACAACTCTGCATGCTGATATGAAATCATCTTACATTCATTAACTAAACAAACATTTTGTTTTTTCTTACAATTTCTTTTTTTTCTACTTCCTGGTTCTCGTTGGCACAAATGGTGTAATCGTACTCAAGCATTGCATCCTGGGAAGGTTACATCAGCAGAGCATTGCTGGGAAATCTCATCTGTAATCTCATGAGATCTCAGGGAAAGGCTTTTTCCTCCCCTGAAATGATCTGCATGGTCACATATCCTAGTCACATGTACCAGAGTTCCAGGAGGTCAAGCGAGATCTAGTAACATGCCCTTAGTTGAAATGGCCACTGTCAGAAGACTGGAGAAGAAAATAAAAATAAGATATGCAAAAAATAAAAAGACTGCAAGTATCTGTTTGTTGATTGTGAATATTTAACATTCCTAAATGTGTATTTGTTGTTAATTTGAACATATGGGTAAAGTTCCTCTTTAAACTTAGTGAATGAGCTAAAGCTAAGTGAAACTGAAGGTGCCCATACACCTTACAACCATGGCAAGACATGGTCTTGCCATGGTTGCAAGCTAATTAAAAGCTTGTACGATCTGCGCCATCTTGGACAGGCAGATCGTACTTGCGATCATCGAAAGCCCGCCCCCCTGAGGGGCGGTCTTCCGATGACTGCAATGCTGAACGGGCACTGTGCGAAGGCAACCGTGTGAATAACCGACCCGAAGTGAAGTGAGCCGAACACTGTTCGGCTATTCACTTCAGGCTTGTACGGCTGATTTCAGCCGTACACCAACTAAAATCAGCCGTAAATCGGCTTGCAGCAGCTCGAGTTCCACTCAGTCGATGCAACATCTGGATCGGCTGAGCCGAAACTCCGGCAGGCTACTCACTGCTGGGGCCGAACAGCAGTGAGTGAATAGCCGAATGCCGCTCAGCGGCATTCGGCTGGGCTATTCTGCTCGGTACCTCTGTGGTACCGAGCAGAATAGAAAAACAGTTTAAAAAAAGTAGAAAAAAATAGAAAACGATAGGGCGGAGCGAGCAGTGAGAGCTAGCTCTGCCCAACTGTTTTCTATTGGCTGGGACCAGCTGTCATTACAATGAGAGCTTAGTGGAGCCGGCGGTGATATCAAAGCCGGCTCCGCTAAACTCTCATTGTAATGACTGTTCAGCGTCCCCAGGTTACCTGATAACCAGGAGACGCTGATCTCTCATTGCAAGTGGCTGGTGTTGGAGACATAGGAAATGCAACAGTTACTAACAGCACTTGAGATTGATTTCCTGGAACTGAACGACAGAGCCATAGTGCAGACACAACAGAACAAGGAACTCTAATGTGTTGCGCAACACAGTTTAATCGCAACATATTAGAGTTCCTTGTTCTGTTGTGTCTGCACTATGGCTCTGTCGTTCAGTTCCAGGAAGTCAATCTCAAGTGCTGTTAGTATCTGTTTCATTTCCGAGGTCTTCAAAAGCCGGAGCCAGCCGTGAGATGACGGCTGGCTTTGCCCAGCTGTCAGTATCAGGTTTTCGACCCGCTTCGGCTTTCAGCTTAGCTCAGTCGAGCCGAAGCATATACCTTCGGCTCGACCAAGCCCCTCGGCCAATTGTGAATAGCCCGTACAGCAGCCCTTCAGTTCTACTGAACCGAAGGGCTCAGGTGGCCGAAGCTAGCCGTAGGATCAGCCGTAGCTATGGCTAGATCCTTTGGCAGCTTTGTGAATGACCCTCTTAGTATTTCTGTATATTTCTTAGTATTTTTAAGTATTTCTGTGATGGGTATGGTAGGGTGTTTCTAATTAGTTGTAGCCTATCAATCTGTACAGATTAATGACCAGCGGAGAAGCTCTGCAGGTGTCATACATATGGGATGACACGATCTTATGTAAAGGGTACCTAGTAAATTATTTAGATAATTAAGGTTCCACAAATTCCACTTTTTCTCTTTTTTACTTTAGGTTATGTGGCTACCCTCCTTTCTATGAAGAAACTGAATCCAAGCTCTTTGAGAAAATCAAGGATGGCTCTTATGAATTTGAATCACCATTTTGGGATGACATTTCTAAATCTGGTATAAAGGGATTAATGCATTTGTGTGTGTGTGTGTGTCAGTGTATGCTAGTGGCAAAGTAGATAAGGCCAACACCTCCACTTTTTCTATATCTATTTCTGTCTCTGTAATGCACTATTGCTTTGGTTGATATGTAAAAACTAGTAGAAAGAAATAGTGAAGGCGCTACATGAGGGCAAATGGTTATCGTTATGCACAATCCTATTATCTATATATTGTAGATGTTTACCTATTATTGTAGCCCATGTCTAATTTAAATAAAACTTGTGGCTTAAAGATAGTCCAGAGCAATGGTGCTTTGGTCCAGAGCAGACCTGATGTTTATGGTTATCCACATAATTGATATTGGTACTGAAGACCATAATAAAACATATTAGTATGTGTTAGGCTTTTTTAGTTATGAAACCTGAAGCAGAAATAAGGTGGAGGGGAGTTGCTATGTTTGTGATAGCAACTTGATCAGACTCATGATTTGCTTTGAAAATGTGGAATTTGATTGATTGCTGTCAGCAAAAGCAAAGAACCTTTTTCTCAGGTTCTCTTAGCCCTTGTTTTGTAAATAGGCCCATTTAAACACTACCTTCTAGCAACATCAATCTGTAATCTTAGAATAACTTACATTTTTCTAACCTTGGTGTTTCACCTTTTCTTCCAGCAAAAGATTTCATAAGTTGTCTCTTAGAGAAGGATCCCAAGAAACGTTATAATTGTGAGCATGCCCTTAAGCATCCATGGTAAGATTGCTCTTTAAGGTTCCACTGGCAGAACATAATCATATTACTGTGAAATGACTTGACTTGTGAAAAAACATGAACAGCTGTTAGCCGAGAGCGTAGTGGCACTTCACATATAATTTCCACACATCTATCCTAAGTGCCATGTTAAAAAAGAAAAACATTGTCACACCAAAAATAATTTAGTCTAGCAATTGTATAGCAATTTAGAGATATGTCAGTATTGCAGTCATGCATAGTGTTTATAATCATATAATTGCTGGGGGAGAACTTCCCTTTGCAGCTGAGTGCCTCTTCCTGTAGTGCTGGCTCAGGTTGTGAACCTGCACACAGACACCATGTATCCATTCCAGAGACAAAACAGAAGTTCTGTCCAGCATGAGAAGAGATACGGATTTAATAGGAAGAGCAGCAAAGAGAAGGGAAACAACCATGGATTACAGTAAGGCACACATTACAGTATTGGTTTATGTTAAAAAATATGAGGGTTTAATGTTACTTTAATAATATGTATAAATAAATATTAAGCAAATAATCTATAACAAAAAAGTATATATAATATATAATAATACCCTATGAACTGCCTTTGTTCTAAAATGCTAAATGAGGTTTAGGGCACATAAAAAGCTATTCTGCAATATGGCAATCTCATTGATGTGTACCTAATGACAAAAAAAATTAACTTATTTGGTTAAATATGGTTGCAAACATTTCATGAGAACAACGCTAGTTGATAATCTTTACACATTTGCGGTTTAATTGGTCCTTCTTGTAGCATAACAAGCCCCTGTGGACAGTACTGAACTATATTCTAACACTTTTTGAACTATTAAACATACTGTATAGTTCTAATACATTATACTATTTTAAGTTTCTATTTATAAGAGATTAAATACCTTTTTATATATGTCATATCTCTCTCATAGTACATAATTTTGATGTTTTAAATTTCCTTCTGACCAGCTTACCATTTGGGCAGGTCATCAGGGTCCTGCCTGCAGGGCAGCCATCAGGGGGGTACGGCCGATACTCATGTAAGGGGCCCGGGCAGCCTGAACTAATCCCAGAGTCTATCGGGTCGCTAAGCCCTGAGCCAAATTCATATACTCTTCTGCATTGGTGTATACATTTATTGCTGGGATTTGTAGTCCCCCCTACTGCCGGTGCCATTGTGCATTAGAGTGTAAGCTCCTCTGCACAGAGAATGATGTGACTGTCTCAGTGTTCTCTGTACAGCACTGCGGTATATGTCAAAGCTATATAAATGTATAATAACAGTGTGACTGGCTAAGTGTGGTGGTGGTGGGGGGGTCCCGGCCCAAAGCTGTTTAAGGGGCCCCAAAATTTCTGATGGCTGCCCTGCCTGGCTGTGATATTCAAAATGTTGTTTGCCTAGGAAGGAGGTTAAAAGATCCTATGCACTGAATTTATTTGACAGCTTTATATTTATATTAGAGCTTCTTTAATACATTTCACATGGAGCAAAGGCAGAGAGACAAGTGTGGAGGTATTCATCGGCTAGTGATTTAAGGATTTTAGCCATAAATGACTTCTCCTTACATATTTAAAACTGTAAAACACACTCAATGGGAAGGTGCCATGAATGAAAAATCTATACTTTGAATCCTATCCCTCTTTGAAAATGCCAGTCCGTAGACTGCCATGCAGAACTCTGGCTTCTCTACTGTGTAAATTACAGATACTTATATACCACCAGTTGGATCTCCTGACTGATATAATTTTTATATGTTAGTAACTTTTAGGCCCCATTCACGCCTAGGTGTATTGTAATATGCGCGACCGTCGCGCGATTCCAAAGGCTACTTGGCTGTATCCCAATGGAAAACGCCCTACAAAACGGCCCAAAGTAGTCCCGGGACCTTTTCAGGCGTGGGCCGTTTTGTAGGGCGTTAGGGACGGGCGGAAATACGCCTAGGTGGGAACGAGGGCATTGACTACAATGCTAATTATTTTTTTTGACCGTTTTGTAGCGCGTTCGTCGAGCGTAGGACGCGCTACAAAACGGTCAGGTGTGAACGCAGCCTCAGTAGAGGAGTTAGGGGATCGCAGTGACATCCACACATCTAATTTTTTCAGTTGTTGGAAATAGCAGCACATCAATATTTTAGATTTTTTTTTTTTTTTTTACAGGATTGCTGGGAACACTGCCCTCCATCGAGATATTTACCGTTCCGTGAGCATCCAGATTAAAAAGAACTTTGCTAAAAGCAAATGGAGAGTAAGTCATTTGCACATTTTTAGTATATGTTAGTGTTATGTTAGTTAGTTAGTTAGTTAGTTAGTTAGTTAGTTAGTTAGTTAGTTATGTCAATCAGTATGTATGTTTTAATGTTTCCAAGTGTGTGTTTCCTATACATGTATGCATAAGAAAAAAAAGGTTAAACCATTCAAATCAAGGATAATTTCTTTGTTGTTGCCAATCTCTAGTAACATCCTATGCTATATCTACTCACTTGGCATATAGACAAAGCCCAGTATCCCTATTTTCTATCCAAAGCCACAATACTGTTTGAACCAAATCATCACCTTAGCATACAGTATCAGTAATAATCTGTTATCTATTTGCAGCAAGCATTTAATGCAGCAACAGTTGTTTATCACATGAAAAAAATGCATATGCATAGCAGTCAGAGCAGCTGTGGATCTTCTTCTGACATGAAAAATGGAATACCCACTATCAAAGTGTATGATGCTTCAAGATCATCATCCTCAATCATCAACGCTGCTCAGGATGGGAGCCTATGTGACAATGATAAGTTACTTATCCATGCAGCCAACAAACTGTCTGCTGAGAGCACTGAGGTAAAGAGTCCTTGTACCAGTTCAGTAAATTATCACCAGACCTATTCTGAGCAAAGCAAGAAGGCTAATGATTTTTCATCTCATCATAAACAAACTCAAGACCAACTTCTTCCTAAGTCAAATCAAGAGGTGCAAAGTGACCCTCCAAAAAAATCACTCAGGAATGTAACACAAAATAGTGCTACACAGACCAGCCCGGTGCGCAATACACTTCCAGAAATTAATCAAGTTGGTTCCATAAAGGATGGACACTCGCAAACAAAGGATAAGCCACAGGCCAATCAGGCTACAAAGGCCACTATTCTGAGTAAACCAACACAAGCTGATCCACATTCAAAGGATGTAGAGCAACAGAAACCTAAAAACATTTCCCAACCTCTTGACCTCCCATTGCCACCTTCTCAGAAAACTGAAGGGCATAGTTTACAAAAAACACCATCTACAAATTCTTGCAAAAAGTTGACTTCTCCAATTACTGTAACAACTAACACCACTCAAAAACCTCCTCCCCAAGCAAGTCCCACTTCTCAGAAATCTCCCATAAAGGAAGCCATCTCTCCAAAGACCCCTTCAAAAAATGTCAGTGCTCAGTTTTCTGTTCAAGAAAACACAGCCAAGAAGAACAGCAATAAGAAGTCTAACTTAGATCATGATATCTTGTGCATGGAAATCCCTCAGTACAAACCCTTGGACTTATCCTATGAAACTTCTAAGACTGATAAGGTTTCAGTTCCTACTAATTTATATGTGACTAGTGGAAGCTCAAGCGAAACCTATGAGAAAGGAAAGCCAATCAACTGCTCAGAACATGGTCTAATGAAGAAAGGTCACAAGAAACAGTAAGTTATCCAACGTTATATCGAATTTCAGTAATGTAGCTTAAAAACTTAAGATAAAATGGCAAGCTCTGCCCAAGACTGAACCATTTGTGTTAGATACAATATAAAATACACTTTAAAAATGTGAGGGAATATATTGTTTCCCCAGGTGCTTATAGGTTTGCATGTGAAATATATTTTTTGCCAATGTTTATGTAATCACTTTTACAAAATTAATTTTGCAAAGTGAACACACTCTTAACAAAGTGAACATGTTTTGTTCAACCCTATTGCCTAAAGTCAACTGGTACTTTGTGCACTGGCAAAATGTATTTTAAAGTATTTACACATGTGGCCAAAAAAAAATAATTTTTTCTGGCACACATTATTGGTACATAGCCATATAAGTCTGTGACATTGGGAGGGGAAGTATTCTACCCACATAGAATAAACTAAGATCGTATGAGTTTTAGTGAAGATGGAAAACAAAGCACTTAGTGATAAGTCTCAAATAAAACCACAGAAAAACAGTATATAAATAGAACACCAACCCAAGAGCCGTTCCATTGTAAGAGGCAGAACTGAAGGTGGCGGTCTTTAATAATGTTCAAAAACATCATCACACTTTTAAACTAACAGTAGGGTATTGAAATGTTCTCTGTTATGAAAATGTTCTCTACACAAAAGCCTTTTGTTGCAAAAGGCAGTGCCATACATTTGTAAAAATATTCCTCAGCCATGCACAGTTTCAGTGATTTTCAATGAAAAACAAACTCACAACATCCTGGTTGTTTGAGTGACCTAAGCATGCCATACATTTGCATACATAATAAATTTGCAAACACACAAACATAAATAATATATATGTAGATTCATGGGATAAAACTTAAAGAAGAAACAAAATTACATTGAAACCCCATTTAAACGAAAATGTTCTATCTGATTATAAAGAAAAAAAACACAAAAATCTAATTACCAACAAACAAATGCCTTGACTTTGACATTAACTGAATTTTATGTAGTCCATAGATGATTAATAACAATAGTTTAGAAATATGTCTTTTATCCTTGTAATCACCTTGATGGATGTTTAAACCTTCTATGGGAATGTAAACAATGCCCAGTAAGAAGAAAATCATACTGCAAAGATCAATTGATATATATGTACTTTTGACAATGTATCTTGCAACCAGTTTAATATTAAAATTGGATAATATATTGTACACAGTCCAATGCTGTTTAAACACCTTACTACCAGAACAATGTTTTAATTCTTGTACGCACATGCTAAACCTGAATTTTTGGATAACAAAAAACAATTATATATTTTCTGAAAGCAGAGGCCCTATAGAATAAAAAAAATGGTAGGTAAATAGTTACCAAACATCTCTAGCATTAAAATTGCACGTACCCGTGCAATGGTGAAAAACTATAAGGTCAATAACATTTTTCATAAGGAATGATTTAAAAGCCTTTACTGCTCATCAGTTTAACAGTTTTAACAGAGTTATCAGCAAATTATGGCCCCTGAATTATTGCTCTCACTCGGACATTCGTGGTGACCTGACTTGTGTGACACAATCGTCGTTTATGTACACGTGCTTGCCCCACACAGACCTGTTTATTTACATGCAGATATCGGGGGGCGTCAGGGTTGGTTTTAATCTTTTACATTTTTATTTATTTTTCCTTTTTCTTCACTTAACGTTATTGCTATTACACAGGGGATAACAAGCCCCTATGTAACAGCATTTGGATGTGACAGGTTCTCTTAATGCAAAATTCAGATTGGACCCATCGCACTCCTGACCGGATTTTACCCTTAAATATTGGATGGGTGCCAGAGTGACAGCAGATGCCTCTACAGATCAATGTAAAGTAAAGGAAGGTCACTTGCACTTCAAAATAATTTTTAGTTCATATTTATTGAGCTTTTATGATGTAACACTATAGAGGTCAATACATATTGACTAAAAATTATGTTGGAGTGAGAGTGACCTTCCTTTACTTTACAGGTTCTCTTTATGAAGACATATGGGGTCTATTAGGGTCTCTCTCTGTTCTTCAATACAGATGATCAAGCACAGGAATGTGCTTGACTGCTTGTGTAAATGGCACTTCAGTCGGCTTCTGACAGCTCTGAAGCAGGAATTGCTGAAAGCACAGTGCTCCACACTTAATTCATCACAGAGAAAATTGTGGAATGGAGATTCCTCGGCCTTCTCCCACTCTCCATCCTGACACTGTCTGCCATGGTCCCAGGCCCCGCAGAAGAGTGGGGGACCCAAAAATCCACGGCGTGGGGGGGACCACATTTGCAGACTTCTACAAATAATCTGGGTGGCTGTATACTTGTACTGAACAGGCATCGCCTCTTCGAAAAAACTATACCAAGATTATGGCTGTCGCAGCAGCTATGATCTTGGTATAACCACTTAAAGGAGAACTATAAGATGAGTGATTTCCACTCACCTCATAGTTCTAGCCGACCTGTGACAATGAGACTGTCACAGGTCGGCTCAGTAGATCGGGAGGTGAGCGAACACATACCAGGTTCGCTCACCTCTTGATCCTGTCACGGCTCTCTGCCGTGACAGGGGGAGGGCTGGATTCCCCCCTCCCCGCTCTGATCCGCCAGCGCTGACTGGCGGAACGGACGGGGGAGGGGGCTGGTACAGCTGGCTCTTCCTCTAGATAGGCAGAGCCAGCTGTCACTCACGCAGCTGGGCGGATCCCGTCATCTACGTCGGGATCCGCTCCGGCTGCGGCGTCTCAGTATACCGCGAGCTGTAGCTCGCGGTATACTGAGCTTAGGGTAACGGGAGGACGCTAGTTTGTGTCCTCACGTTACCCTAAGGAGAACTATGGGGAAAAACACTGACCCCCATAGTTCTCCTTTAAGGATGAGGAGGTATATATAAACATACGGCAGCTCTGAAGTGGTTAACAGAAATATGTTTTACTTGTAAACACAGGAAGACACTTTGTGGCCCCTTAACAGTATTCGTAAAGAACAGAGCTTAGCAGTTGCTTGGAAACATTTTCTAGACTAATTATATTTAGCCAGCTCTCACCAGCTTATGTTACATGCCATCAGATAACTAGACAGTAGGTGGGCAAACAGCGCAGCAGAGATTGGTAGACCTTCAAGTGGATTTTCAGACAAAACTATTTAGTTTTGGATCACGTATTTTTATACTCATTGATATAATAAATATAGTAAAAAAAATTATACTAACAATGTCTATTGCAGTGGTTCTCAACCTGTGGGTCGGGACCCAAAAGTGGGTCGCGACCCACAGTTGAGGGGGTCCCCACATGCCTTGTGCTGCTCTAGGTAAGAGGCTCCTCAGCCTCCTCCTAGCGCAACAGTGTCAGTTCTCCTAGATGGTGCTGCAGCATCAGTGGCCAGAGAGGATCAGAGAGAGGGGAGCAGGCAGAAGTGAGGGGAGATGAGTGCTTGATCACCACAGAGCCCACACTGGACGCCTACAGAGAGTCCCACTAGCCACCTGAGAGCCTGCATTGCCTCCCGAGAGCCCACACAGATACTAGTATTGGTACATCCCTAAATTTTACAGTTGGGGGTCACCACAACTTGGCAAATGTTACCAAGGGGTCCAGGCCCTAGAAAGGTTGAGAACCACTGGTCTATTGTGTGATATTCTAACATGGTATGCCAGACAGAACCAAATCCAACTACATTTGCTCAGCTGTTTACAGAAGATTTACCTGCAAAATATTGTTTATTACTCTCAAATTTATATTTTGGTGTCCCTCCTTCCAGGCCTTTCCTGAACGGCATCACAACTACAGCGAAAACTACAAATTATACACACTGTGGCAGTGGACAGACAGGAGTATGCTCAGTCATGTGACAGCACTACCATAGTCGGATTGGCACTATGTTTCATTGTAAGTTGAATGTAATTATGGTTACACATGCGCTAAATTAGATATTTATATGTTATATACTATATCTAACGTGATAAAAGTAAAGTGTGTTTATTGATATCTCATAGAGCTGCACATTTCTTTTTCTTCTGAATAAGGTGTCTGAACTTCAAACCCCTCAAATGCTGCAGCTGACTTAATACTTTATAATTTGCTAATCACATTCTCACCAGGTTTTTGACTGTCTCTGTGTAAAACGATTGAAAAAAAAACATATACTTCTGTCTAGTGTTTCATGGAAATGGTTGTTAAGCAACAACCTGATTCAAGAGGCAGCTTAGTTAAAAGAATTAAAAGTCTGCAGCAGGTAGAAGGAGCAGGTTAAACAAAGATATGAATAGTAATTCAACTACATGGAAGATAAGAGAAATAAGTAAAAACGTATCCACTTCCTAATGGTGACTTCCATAGAAATTCCTGGGCAATGTCACTCCATATTGCACTTCACCCTCTGCCAATGAATAAAGACAGAATCCCTACTAGATCCTGCTAAGATGCAGTTTGCTTTTGCCCCAAGATGTATTGTGACCACTCACTGAACAGCTAAGCATTCTGGAGGAACCCTTTGCCAGCTCACAAAGAACAAGTTGGTTCTTTGTGACAAATTGCCAATCCTTGGCAAACAGCTTGTTCTGGAGTAAATATCAATGTTGGTGAACTGATTTGTTCATTCTTAAATATGAACAATATTTAAGCACCAACAGCTGCATAGTATGACATAGGGGTCTATTCACAAAGCTGCCGAAGGATCTGGCCGTAGCTTCGGCCGATCCTTCGGCTAGCTTCGGCACCAGGACCCCTTCGGTTCAGGAGAACCGAGGGTGTGCTGTACTGGCTATTCACAATAGCCCGTACAGCTCCCGATCACGGCCGAGCGGCTCAGTCGAGCGCTGAGCCGTGCTGAAAGACGAAGCTGGACGAGCAGAACAGCCGAGCCAAATGCCGCTCGGCGGCATTCGGCTATTCTCTCACTGCTGTTCGGGATCTTTCAGAATAGCCCGAACAGCAGTGTGAAGCCTGCCGGAGGTTCGGCTCAGCCGATCCAGATGTTGGATCGGCTGAGTCGAACTCCTTCTGCACTTCGGGTCAGCCGAACATGCTGAGCATGTTCGGCTGATCCGAAGCCACACGAAGCAAGCCGATGTACGGCTGATTTCAGCCGATATACGGCTGAAATCAGCCGTACCAGCCTGAAGTGAATAGCCGAACAGTGTTCGGCTCACTTCACTTCTGATCGGTCATTCACTCGGCTGCCCTCGGCAGCTTTGTGAATAGACCCCATACATTTCATAAGCAGTAATACATTTTAGAATATTTTTAAGTGCATATTTAGGTGCTTATATTTTATGTGTGATTTTCTTACTATGAATCAATGAAAAAAACCAATAACCTAATCTTTTAATCCTTAGAATAAACAATTGTTTGTGAGATAACTTGTGAGCCAAAGAACTCCTATGATGACAATTGGTTTGTTAAGCTAATGCTTTGCATGATGTATTACATTTAGTTCCCGGTTAGTTATTTGCATTGCTATTTTTTGCATTGATAGTTAAGATCATATGTGTGAATTCTTTAAGAGACCCTGTAAGTTCCCTAAAACATCCAGTTGAGAGACCCCTGCAGCAGAAGAGGTAGTATACACATCTCTCATGTGTCCCATGTCTCCAACTATCCATCCCTTCCACTGTTGCAGCCGTTGTAAAACTCTGTCGCATTCAATGCTTCCAGAAGTGGCAAGTGCCTCTCTCCTCCACCAAACACTATGGTTCCCCTCTCCAGGGGAACACAGGCATTTGACACTCTTGGAAATGCCAAAATCTGAAATGTTTGATGGAGGTAGCATGGGGAATGCTAGCGCTACTGTCAACTTTTTATTGGTATCATAAGGGTGCAGTAATCCTTTTACCTTCTGGCAATCTATATAGAAAATAAGCTGGAACAGAAGCCTCTAAGTTTAAAACTGTTCAAGAAAACATAAACATGGATAGAGTTATGACTTCAGTTAGCAGTGAACTATACAACAACAATATCTTCATTAGCACAAATATGCACAGACATATAAAAGGAATTGTTCACACATTAAAAAGTTATGGATGTCTGGATTATTAAAATTCAAAACCGCACTGAATGTTACCCAAGCTTTTATGCATTGCCTGCTTCCCTTCACTGATGGTAAATACTGTATCACCAAAGAACAATTTGTCAGAAATTAAACCTTTGCAGCAATAGCACCAATTAAAAAGAATATAACCGTTTTTTCAATTTGTCTGATGCATACTTTTCCACTACAATTACCTTTGTACTATTTGTGAGGGATGGAACATCACAAATTTTGTTCAGAATACCACTTCAGAGCACAGTTGTCAGTATTACTTCATACAGTACAGTATATAGTATAGGTGAAGATAATGTTGATATGAACTGTATAAGTCCCTATGGTAACATGTGCTCCATGCTCAGTATGAATACTGATTCCTGAAGGGATACTTGATAGGGATACCTAGGTGAAATATTATGGTCAATCACAACAGAAAGAAATGCTGCCTGCTAGCTGATAGTGACACCCCCGACATGGTGGGGGGGGGGGATATAGCAGTTCGGGGATAACTAGAAAACAAGGAAATAAAATTGTACAGAAAAAAAAGGGAATTAAAGTACCTCTGGCTCTTTTTATAACAAACACTGGTCAAAACCACAAAATTCAGTTTTTACAGTTGTTTATAGATTCCATAGAAAATAGAAACATTTCTGCAAAATCATATTGGCAAAAGAGGGCCTACTTCCAAAATGTATTTTAAGTGATGACAAAGTTATAATAAACAGCCCCATAGTGGAAATATAAAAAAATGATCCAGTTCGTAAGGGGTTTAGTAGCTTAAGTGGCTATTAAAGTGCTGTGCTATCCTTTTGTTAGCTTTATTTACCAAATTAGCTAGATTTTTAAACATTAGCAATCATAACATTACAATCATACAGTATTTTGTAACAATTACTAAGAAAACTATCTTTGGAGAGCACATGTTTAAGGGGCCCATTCACAAAGCTGCCGAAGGATCTAGCCGTAGCTTCGGCTGATCCTTCGGCTAGCTTCGGCCCCGAGGACCCCTTCGGTTCAGTAGAACCGAAGGGCTGCTGTACGGGCTATTCACTATAGCCTGTACAGCTCCTGAAGTTGGCCGAGTGGCTCGGTCGAGCCGAAGGCATATGCTTCGGCTCGACTGAGCCGAGGTGAAAGCCAAAGCTGGCTGAATGGCCGGCCATTGGCCACTTGAATGCAGAGACAGATCAGCGCCAGAAATGTCATGATAGCTTGTCGGAGCTGGCGGTGATAGCAAAGCCGGCTCTGCTAAGCTCTCATCGTAATGAAAGAACAGCGTCTCCTGGTTACTGGGTAACCAGGGACACTGATCTGTCATTAAGATAAGAGCTTAGCAGAGCCGGCTTTGATATCACTGCCGGCTCCGACAAGCTCTCATTGTAATGACGGCTGCTCCCGGCCAATAGAAAACAGTTGGGCAGAGAAAGCTGTCACTGCTAGCTCAGCACAATTGTTTTCTACTTTTAAAAATAATTTTTTTTACAGTTTTTCTATTCTGCTCGGTACCACAGGCTATTCACTCACTGCTGTTCTGTCTCTATGAGAATAGACCGAACAGCATCGAGTAGCCTGCCGGAGGTTCAGCTCAGCCGATACAGATGTTGGATCAGCTAAGTCGAACTCCTTCTGCACTTCGGGTTAGCTGAGCATGTTCGGCAGACCCGAACCCAGCCGCAGCAAGCCGATGAACGGCTGATTTCAGTCGGAGTACGGCTGAAACCAGCCATACAAGCCTAAAGTGAATAGCCGAACAGCGTTCGGCTCACTTCACTTCGGGTCGGTTATTCACACGGCTGCCCTCTGCAGCTTTGTGAATAACCCCTTAAGTGTTTAGATTCTGTAAACTCTTACAGGGTTATTCACAAAAGGGTGAAGAGTTTGGAGAAGGCAGGAGTGAACAATCTAGGCCAAAATAGCTGATTTGGAAAAATCTTCCAATTCAGCTCACTTTCCAGTTCAGCTATGCTTTCCTAGATTGTTCACTTCTCCTGCCTTCTCCAAACTCTTCACCCTTTTGTGAATAACACTCTTAAAGTTTTTTGTAAAGGATTTAAATATGCTTTTGTCATGTGTCAAATAATAATGCATTCATTTGTTTTTGTTAACAGAAGGGCTGCGCAGTTACCTGTGTATTAAAGCCACATACTGGTCTTGCATTGGAGTAAAGCCAAGAGAAGATCCCTTTCATGTTCTCTTTGGGAGCATTCACTGAACACCGTGGGCATTTTTCTGAAGGATATGGCAATGACTTTTGGCATTCAAAGACTGATAGCTCAATGAGGAGACATCATCAGATCTACTGCATATAATTCGATGACTTAGGATCATCTCCAATCATGGAAATTGCAGGGGGGATTTACCTATGTGTATAATCAATATTCCTCCTTGTAAAACATATTTACAACTGTACATCTTACTGGCATCACTGCCTTGTAAATAATGTGTATGAAGGTGTGAGAAAATGTTTTTGTTAAACTTTAGTGTTTTCAATGCATATTGATCTACAGTGACCATCACAAGCCTTTCTTTAGTTACGATTGCAATGGACTGTGCAGAGCTTTTACACATATACGCTGTAAGCAAATGTGGTGTTGCCTCTAGAATCTGTCAGGGACATTAAACACCGGCTCTATGGAAGCATGTGGATTCTACTTTTACCCTCCTGCTTTATTTTAAATTTATCATACGCCATCTGTCTCTGAAGGCTAAGACCTGCACTGATGAAGATCATGTAATATGGAACATTTTTGCACAGAACTCTTATTACTAGACCTCTGTTTAACAGTGTTTCATCACAATTTAATTTCTGAACTTGTACTGTATTAGCACTACACTTTGCAAAAAAATGTTGCTAACAAAATATGAGACATCTATTAGTACTGTTTTGTGCCCTAAAATACATAGATCTATCAGCCTGCCAGGCAACATTGTGGTATTATGTGTAGTATAGGTGGCTTAGCTTCAACTGGTGCCATGAGCTTAGCATCTTTCTGATAGTATTTCTACTTATTCTTGAACGCATTAAGAATGAAATATACGAGAGAAAAGGGAAACTGGCAGTTTAGTAGGCAAATGGACTAACTAGCTGCTTTTAAAAGCCTGGCTATGAAATCTGTTACTTTATTGTAATCTATGTCTTTGTAGATATAAATGCAATTTATTTGTTCTGCTTCTGTACTATGAATTAATTAATAAATATGAATTTTTATGTGGCAGAAGTTTAACTTCGTCCCATAAAATTAGTTACCAAAAACTGAAGATTGTTCACAAACAGGTCACAACAAAGTCAGGCAATCAACATACGGTTATTTAAAACAACTATTGTCATCAGTCTGATTTAATTTTATAGTAATTTACACTATAGAAGACAAAATGACAAAGAAGAAGGACAATACACAAGATGGTGTCAGCAGCAGTGGTCTTAAACAATCCCCCCATATTTCCTCCAAAAGCAGCAAAGAGAAGTACACCCGAGCAACAGCAACAGCTATGGACTCCACTCAAACAACTAAAATGTGGCAAAGTTTGGGGGATAGATCAGTTTGTAAACCTGTTGAAGAAGTCTCAGATTCAGAAGGGGAGCAACAGGGGAGTTGTGGATGTACCTGAAGGACAGTCACCAGTGACTTTTGTGGATACTCCTGGGGACCCTACCATGAAGGATGTGTTCTCAGCAATACAATCTTGTAATATCTCTCTGGTCTCTTTGTCTGACAAATACAGGCTTTGCGCATAGATGTGTCTCTCCTCAGACAAGATATGCAAAAATTAGTGAAAGGATCAGTAACGTTGAGGACAGTAAAATTAAAGATAGAAACAACATTGTCTGTACTGATCTTACAATGACTATGCAAAAATTGTCCACTACTTCCCTTAAATTGGATGAGTTGGAAAATAGATCAAGACGTGAATATGTTAGAATGGTGGGCATCCCTGAGCATACAGAGGGATCAAACCCTGTGACGTTTATTGAGAAATTGATAATCGAAATAATAGGAAGAGAATGTTTATCCTCCATGTTTATGACTGAACATGTTCACAGGGTCCCTGCACGTCCTACAGCACCAGGAACCCCCCCCCCCCAAGGACCTTTTTGCTAACAGGCTTCAATTATAGGGACAAGGAAACGATCATGTGTAAAGGTTGTAAACTGGGTGCTATATCTATGGCTGGGGCTACTGTGATGCTCTTTACAAATTTTTCATATGCAGTGCAAAAGAAGAGGGCCCAATACCAGGAAGTAAAAGTTAGGTTAGGTCAGCAAAAAATTAAATACTCCATGCTATATCCTGCCAAATTACGTATGAATATCAATGGAGGGTCTATATTGTTTGAATCACCTACAGAAGCCCCTGTGTGGTTGGACAAACTCTTGCATAGGCAATAGCAATTAATTTTTGGCAGAGGGCAGTTAACAGTTAATGTTATTAATATATAAAACGCGCTGTGACTTGCACTGTAGTATGAGAGTACGGTTCATGTTAATACCTTTAACCCCCTATCTAGCTTCTGAGTGAGGTGTTTGTATGTGGAATGGGGAAAGGAAATCTGTTGTAAGGTTTTGTATTGACATGTTTTGGGGGTTTTTTTCTGCGTGTTTTGTGTTTGGCACAGGTCTTAGTACGCTCTTAGAGCTACTGTGGGTATATGGCCTATCTAGCTGTACCCGCCCCCTCCCCCGCCCGATCCGCCAGCCAGCGCTGGCGGATCGGAGCGGGGAGGGGGGAATCCAGCCCCTCCCCTGTCACAGCAGAGAGCTGTGACAGGATCGAGAGGTGAGCGAACGCCGGGATGTGTTCGCTCACCTCCCGATCTACTGAGCCGACCTGTGACAGTCTCCAGAAAGCAACAGCTTGCTACCATATTCATTCACTATGGGTTTTATTCACGAAGCAGCCGAAGGATCTAGCCGTAGCTTCGGCTGATCCTTCGGCTAGCTTCGGCCCCAGGAGCCCTTTGGTTCAGTAGAACCGAAGGGCTGCTCTACGGATGACTTTTTAAAATAAAGATAAAAATACCCTTATTAAACTAGTTAAAGACACATTAAAAAAACATTCTTAGAAGACAAAACAAAATATTTGCCCCCCCTCCAAAAAAACCAAAAAAATAACTGTCAAAGTAATGAGTTATAGGCAAATCAATAAAACATTGACATTACAAAACTTCTTCAAATACACTTTTTAATCAGGTACTAATGAAATATTGCAAAAAAATAAATCATGTTTACCATTTACAACCAGCAGGTGGAGGGTGCATTTGTAGGGGACATAACAATAATTTATCATAGCCACTGCAGTGATAAAAATAGACCTAAATAGTTGAAATCCCCCACCCCCACCCCAGCAAAGATGGTATGCTTTGCAAACTGAGTGTCATGGAAGCACCCTGTAATAAATATTTATTTGTAAAATAAAAATTTTATACAAATAATTAAAAATAATATAAAACATCAGTTTATAGTAAAAAATAATTACAATACAACTGACCAAAACCACTACAGAAAGCTGAACTTTAGGCATTTTCTTAACTATTGTTTGAATTATTAGAAGAGTTGGTTCAAGGGTCAGTCATCACATTTAGAACTGGCAGTGATAAAAAGAAATGCAGAATAATGTATTAAAGAAGAACTCCGGTTCAAAATATTATTAACCCTTGCAGCAGGGCTACCCCCACACTGCAAAGGTTAGGTGCTCATTTCTGTGTAGTTACTAAAAAAAAGTTATACTAACCAGACCATTGGAGCCAGCTTCCTGCTTTTTTGATCACTAAAGCGTTTCTTCTCCACTGCACAGATGGACTGCTCCTAGAATCCTCATGTCTATACACAGTCTATGCACAGTGTATAGAGCGTGATGACACTAGGATCCTTAGACCACTGAAGAAGAGGGGGAGAGACACTCGAGACACCGGTCTAAGAAAAAGCTGGCTCGGATGGTCTGATAAGTATAATTTATTTTCTTTTTTTTGCACCTAGACACAAAAAGGCACTTAAACCTTGCAGTGCTGGGGTAGCCTCGCTGCAAGAAATAATAAAAAAAATATTCCTGGAGTTCTTTAAGGTAAGCAATATTCTGATTTATATCATAAAAAACAAACATTAAATTATTTTTAATCTCTGCAGGTTGAATAGAAGATGGCTCTATTACTGATGTCTTCTCGGATCTTCTTGATCTCATCTTCCAGGCCATTAAGTTCTGAAGATTTTTTTATCATATATTGCTGGTCCTTAAGCAATTCACTTTCAATTTCTGAAAGAAAAAAAATACATATTACAACCTTAAAAGCAGGCACAGCAAAGAATATGAGTATAGGTTACAATACAGAAAATCTTGTCTAATGAAAAATATTTGTTTTCCATTGTTTGCCATTTATAATTTTTACAATTTCCAAATAGGTCATCATTTTATAAGCATGTAATGTTACTTCTTTACAGTAAAAACAAATTATTAAAAATGGTGGGAAGCGAGGAAGACAATGATGTCATTAATGACA